TGGCAAGGAGCGGCCAGGAGCCAGAGAGACCTCCTTCCCGGGCACCATGCCAACCCCTCCAATAAGAGGGGCCCTGGGGGCCCGGATGAAGGTGTGCTCCGGATGCAACAGACAAGGCCCTGACACTCCCACCGGTCTCCTGGCAGCTACAAGCTGCCAACTTGTCTCCCCCAGGGATGGCAACGTTCCTCACCCAGGAGCACAGAAATGACTGCCAGGGAGCCCCCCAGCCCCCAAGCAAGGGGGCAGGCAGTAAGCAACGTCACCCCCCCCCCCCACACTCAGATACCTTCGCCTGGCTGGCCCACCCCTCGCCTGTGTTTTCTGCGCCGCCGCCTCTTCCAGGGCTTTCCCCCAGAGACATCTCCCCCTCCAGCAGCCTTCATGGGCACCCTGCTGCCTCTGACCTTGGTGGGCAGCAGCAGCAGTCTGCCAACGATGGGGAAGTCACCACTAAGGATAGAAGCAGAGCAGCTGCTGCCCACCTGTCAGCAGCAGACCCCCCTCCCGCAGCATACCAGCCTCACAGAGGCTCCTGAAGGGAAGGGAGGCCGAGCACAAGCCCCCAAACCTGGCCTCCAGCCCCTCCCCCAGGATCTTCCCTGCACAGCCAGCCAGAGGGAAGAGGCAACCTGGACAAGCTTCCCTGTCCTCCAGCTGGAGCAAAGGTGCCCCACACCTGTCCTCGGTGCCAGAGGGAAGGGCAGGGCAGGGCAGGGCAGGGCAGGGCAAAAGCCTCGCACCTCATGGCAGCCCCATGACTGGAGACACCCCCCACGCCATTCCAGCTGCACAAGTCCAAAGAGACCCCGGTGGGTACGCAGGAGCCCTCCCCCACCCGGGGCCAGCGCCCCCCTCGAAAGGGGTGGTCTGACCTTCCTCCGATGCCAGCGGCAGCACCGCCCTCCTGCTGGGCAGCTCCACGCGTCCGGCATCCTCTTCCTTCCGGCGGTACTCCTGCCGCGAGGCCTCCCAGGGCTTGGCAGGGTGCGAGAGCGGGCCCCGCACAGCTTGCACGCGCGGGGGGCGTGAGGCAGGTCTGGCCACAGCCAGGGGGCGGCGGACACGCTGCAGGGTGGTGGGCACAATCTCTGGCGGCAAACGCAAGTATTGACGCAGATGGGCAATGCCCTCGTCTGTCAGATACCAGTAGCAGTGGCGCCAGGCAAAGTTCTCACGGACCAGGCCACGGGAGCGCAGGGACCCCATCGCCCGCTGGACTTGCAGGTGGGTGACCCCGGGCAGCTGCGGGTGGAAGCTATGGGGGCGCCGGTCTTTCTGCCCCACCAGCACTCCGTCCCGGAAGAGCACTTCATAGATGCTACGCAGCTGCCCCAGCGGCATCAGCATGCCAGCTACCATGGCGCTGGTGGTGGCGGGCAGTGGGACCAGCCGGCTTCTGAAAGGGGCAGAGAAGCAGCCGCCACCGCCGGGTGGCCAGGACAGGAAGGAAGGATCTGCTGGACTGGACCGCCCTCTCTCCCTTCTGCCAGCCCCAAGGAGCCCCCCTTCCCCACCCGGCAACAGAGAGGGAGGGGGAGGCAAGGGGGAGCACATGCTCCACCACCACCACCACCCTCATTCCCACACACTCTGTCTCCACCCTGGCTGGGGCTGCGGGCGATGCCGGGCCTGACTCAGCGGGGAGGGGAGGGGAGGGGATGTGAGCACGCGGGAGTCCTCCTCCTCAGAGTTTCCTTCCACAAACTCCTGGGCAGCTGTGGGGAGGGAGATGCCGAGCAGCAAGCAGCGGTGGAGAAATCTCTGGGCACATGCTTGCCTGGAGGCTGGGCTGCCAGACCGGGACCGGGTTCGAGGGAAGGCTCCCTCCTCCCCAGAGGGAGGCACGGAAGGGAACCGAACCGGCTGCCACCCTGCAAAGGCAGGAATCGCTGCCCTTCCCTGGGCACAGAGCCTGCCAGGAGATACAGGGAGCGAGGAGAGGCAAAGCCACTGCCTGCCTTCCCCCCTCCCACGTCCTGCAGACCCACAGCCACCCCACCTCTCTCCTGCTCCAGGCTATTCCTGGGTGGAGGCCTTCCAGTTATTTTGGGGCCGGGGGGCTGCTCCCCTCCAATTATAGTATCAGCCCTGATGCCTCAAGCTCCTCTGTTAGATGTGCACGCACAAACCCACACACACCCACGCACGCATGTGTAAGGGGAACGTCTGGCTCCTTGCGAGCCTCCCTGAGCCCAACAGAGCTGCCCAGGCGCCTCCATCAGGGTTGGGGGGAGGGAGAGGAGGCGAGTAAGACATTCCCAGAGTTTGGAAAGACACGGACAGGTGCCCGTGCTGGTGTCACCCAGCCCCAGAGTGCATCAGGGGCCTCCCTCTTTCCAGGGAGGGGCAGGGAGGGGCTGGTCGTCGCTGGAAAGCCCCCGCACAGACCCTGCCCGCCCCCTCACTGTCATCCTCCTGATCAAACCCTGCCCAGCAGGCCCCTTCTGGTTACACAGAGGGCAGCCCTAATGTGGCCAGAGCGGGACCCACGGCAGAAGCTGGCCTGGGGGGTCATTTAACAGCCCTGGACTGCCGCCCACCCAGCCCGCTCTCGCACTCAGGGCTCTGCACCTGCCAGCAACTACTCCACAGTCCCCATTTGGGCGGGGGAGGAGCAGGAACAGACTTTCCAAACTGCCCCAGCTCTCTGCCAGAGTCAATATTTGCGCAGGATTCTCTCTGGTGGATGTTCTGTTGTTCCAACCCCCACCCTAAACATACCTTGCTCCGCCCAGCGGCACTCAAAACAGAAGGCACAGCTGTTTTCCAAGGGAAAAGCCCCCCCCCTGCAATCTTGCCCTAACCTTCCAGGGCAGTTTGCACTTGCCCAGGGGGCCCTTGTAGGTCATCACTGCAGGGAGGATCTCTGGCTGCCTCCTCACCCAACTCCTGCCCCCAAGAGAGGGACAGCCATTCAGTGCCACAGCTGGGCATGCAAGTAATGGGGGAAGTGGAAGACAGGAAAGGCAATGAGGGGCTAAGGGACCCCCTGTGCCTTCTCTGAAGCCAGCCCATGCTGTGCAGCCCCTCTTACCTGGGCCCCAGGGAGACATGCCTGCTATCAGACCTGTCTCTCCCCAGCAGCAGGCGAGGCGCGTGGCAGCCAGCCCACAGCAATGGCAGCAGTGCCCACCAGCAGGGGCACTGGCAGCTCAGTCTGGGCCCTTGGAAAGGCTCCTGCCCTGCTCTCCCCCTCCTTTGGCTGGCAGCTGGCAGGAAATGCCATTGTTCAGAGCAGCTAATCATTAGCCAGAAACCTCTGGGGCCGTTCTTGGACACACACCAGGCAGGGCAAGCCAGGCCCAGAGACAAATGTTAGGCAAATGAAAGCAGGCCAAAATAAAGGCCCAGAGCAAAGGAAACCATGCCAACCTTCTGGACAGGAGGGGCCTGGGCCAAGGCCTGGCATAGCCAGACAGGAGCGGGCACACCCACAACCTGCTCTACGTCAAGCAGAGGCCTTCTTATAACTCTCTGGGAGAGCCAGGCAGCCCCAAGGCCCTCAGGGGGGAACAGCAGCAAGGGCCAACGAAGGAGAAGCAGAAACCAGATGGCTCAAAGCAAACCTCTCTGCTTCCGGCAGCCCCCGGGGAAGGACCAGCAGAGCCATGGCCGCCTTCCAGAGGCCCTGGGACAGATGAGAAGAGGCCTACCCCCTCCCCCAGCAGCCCACAACTGGAGAGCCGGGAAAGTGAGTGCTGTCCAACCCCAACCTTTGCCAAGGGCTCCCTGGCAGAGCCTCCCCTTCCAGCAGAGACCTGGAAAGCTGGTCAGCGCGGGAGCACGAGACAGAGGCAGCTTGCGGGCCTCAGCTGTCCGCACCCGGAACCAGGCTAGGAGGATGCTATGATCTGGCCCGCTGGGGAGCTCGGTTCTGCAAGCTACCCTTGCCCGCTCCTCCCTAGGAAGGAAGGGCCATTGCCACCACAGGCTCTCTGCGAGGCCCGCCCGGCTGCAGGAGGGCTCCTGGATCCTTCCTGACGCTGTCATGCAGGGGACAAAGCCCTCCTGGGGAGGTCGGCCCCAATGGGAGCCTCCGCCACCAGATTCCCTGCATGAGGCACTCGCTCTGCATGCTCCGAAGAGCAACTGGCCCACAGTCACTCGGCCGGCTTTCATCCCTAAGGCGGGGCTAGAACTCATGGTCACCCGGTTTCTAGCCCAGGGCCTTCACCGCTACACCAGACTGGCTCTCTCAGCATCAGCACTGGCACATTATTTGCCCTTCCAAGCCCCT